TCCCTCACACAGACTCGGGCACCCACAGGCAGACACGAGCGTTCAACGTGCATTCTCAGTGTCACACTCACACACACACACACACACATGCACTCGTAAACGCTCACAGACCCGTATCCAACAAACATTCTTACACATTCAGACACACGTGTTCAGTCACACCATCTGACCCTTGGTTAGACACGCTCACACACTCACATTCAGACACACGTTCCCACGTTCGCCAGCACGCGCACACTCCTGCACACACACACCTGCCCGGGCACAGGAGCAGGAGGGTGGGGCCAGAGGTGACTCCAGCCATCAGGCCTCTGCTGGTTTCTAGCCAGAGGGGGTCCTCTGAGCCCCACTTGCTGGAGTTTCCTCTCCTTCCCCCTGGGCTCCTCCCGCACCCAGGAAGTTGGGTCTTGGTCAAGTGTGAGCAGGGCAGCCAGTGTGCCATAAGCTCCCAAAGTTCTCAGCTGGCCTGGCCGCCCCCTCCTACTTGACCCCAGGCCCCCTGGGCCCCTATTTCTCCAGAGGCCTCGGCCATCAGTGGTCCCTCAGCGTCCTCTGGGACACCCAGCCTGGAGGGCCTGTCTCCCGAGGCTATAGGCCAACCCGGGAGCGAGGCATCTCCAGTGAGTTCACGAGTCAACACCGAGGAGACAGAACAGGCTTTTCACTTTTCTCTTCTCAACAAGACTTTTTATAAAGATTCCTTGACCAAACACAATACAACATACTGATAACGCGTTACAGTATTGCGCACCTGAAACCTGTATAACTTTATTAACCAACATCACCCCAATAAATTCAATAAAATGAAATGAAAAGGTTCCTGGAGGGTGACCAGCATAAGCCAGTCCTCCTTGGATTTCTCCAATGAGTCATGTGACTAGAGGCAGGAAGTCCCGCATCTCCTCCCGCAGCTTCCCCACACAATGTTCCAGAATCCTGGACAGTCTGAGCAGGCTGATGGAGCTCCTTCAGCCCAACAGGGGCTCCTCCTCCAGCCACAGTAGTGGGGGCTTCTACCCAGACTCTGCCAGGCCCCAGTGGCACCCCCACTTGGGCCACTGAAAGGGCACAGATCTTTGAATTCAAATCAGAGAACCAGAGGTGGCTGACATTCACAAAGCAGCCATGTCAGGGTGACAGGCCAGCCCTCGCACACAGGCCCTTGGGCTCTGAGTTGAACCTGAGTCACCAGACTGGCTCCCCCTTCCCTCAGGGTGGGGGTCCCCTCTAGAGCCTTGGGTGTCCCTTCCTGCCTGTCGAGACGTTGTATGACACTGACCTTAAAGGTTTCTGGGCCGACCACATCCCTTACCCCAGGCCTTACACTCCGAGGCCTCTGTGTGTTTGTCCACCTCCTCCCAGGTCCCCTTGCCTGGGACACTGTCTGCCAGGTGCCCACTCCTACCTACAGCCTCACACTATATCACAAGGGATCTATTTAAGACTTTGCCAAAAATCAGACTTTGCCAAAAATTCCCTAGGCTGAATTATTTTTGGTTCTTGTAAAATAAGCATCTAGGTAGACATTTCAAAGCCCTGACAGATGGTTTCTGCGACTTCTATTCTCTACCAAAGCAATTATCAAGAAACATTCAGAATGAATAGATTCAGATACAAACCATGGTCAAGCCCTCTGCTGGTGAGACCTGCCCCTCACTCACCTTCCTCCTCCCCCTTTCTTCCCCAACTGTGAGCAGTTAGGGACCCCCTGCTATGGGGGGTTGGAGGCTGGCAGCCAGAGAAGTTTGCTCCTAACAGGGCAACCACTTTGGGGGCCAGCATCCTGCCCTCTGCAGCTATGGCTGCGAAGCAGCAGTGATGGGCAGCAAGGAGAACCAATCGCAGCTCTCCCCTTGATGCATTTCAACCGCAGAGCTCTCTGTTCCCTATGGCAACGTGGAACAGGCTGACACCATCTCTGGACAAAGAAAAGAAATGTCTCACAGGAACTTATGCAGCATGGCATGTTCTGTTTGCTGCATTTCTGGGGAAGTGCACATGGATATTTGAGGTACTCATGTAAGTGCAGCGGCTCAGAAAGCAGCAGCATTGGTGTTAGGGGGCTTCAGGCTGGGGAAGGGGCCTCATCAGGCCTCTCCCTGAGTATGATGATCAGGCCCTCAAGTGTCACCTCCTCACACAAAGACCATCACCCCAGAGGTCTAAATTGGGCTGAAAGGTACTGGCAACGTATCCCACTAAAACATATTCAGTATTGCATCGGGAGGGACCTGGACACATGGCCAAAGAGTTACACTAACTGTTCAGACAAGTGGATTCCAAACTTTGCGTCCAGGGAGTAGCTGTGATAACCGCTCTGCCTTCGTTTGCTCTGCCCAGGTTGCGTTTGGGGTGGCCCACTGTACTTGCGTCTCACTTGAAGCCTGTGAAATGAACTATGACTAAAAAAGTCAAACTCAGGCATATTAAGGCCTTTAGAGAAAGCTGAGGCTGGTGCTGGGTGAGCTGTGTGAAGGTCTCAGTCCAGCCCCTCTGTTGAGGAGCTGGGTCTATGAAGCAGTTCCCCAGGGACAGCAGTTGGGATGGGAGTTCCCAAACTGGAAGCCGAAAGGGGTCTGACTGGGCCTGTAATTGCCAGACCTCCTTCGTTCTCTGGCCTAGGTAGCTGGGATAAGAAATGAGCAGATTCACCAATTTGGGTTGTCCTTACCGTCCCCACCCCCCACCCCACTAATCCATTGTTCTAAGAGGTCATCTCTCTGAGCGATTTGCAATGTAGGTGATTTTCTACAACTAACCAAGTTTGAACTTCCCTCAACATAGATGCAAATAGTGAGCTCATGTCACAGGGGCTCCAGCAATGCTATGTGCTGATACCTGACATGACAGTCTTAGGGATTCCTTAGGTAAATGATTAGCAGGG